GGTTTCGCCCTCCCTCACGCTATCCTCCGTCTCGATCTTGCCGGCCGTGATCTCACTGATTTCCTGATCAAGAACTTGATGGAGCGTGGTTACCCATTCCAGACCACTGCTGAGCGTGAAATCGTCCGAGACATCAAGGAGAAGCTCTGCTATGTTGCTCTCGATTTCGAGCAGGAGCTGCAGACTGCTGCTCAGTCTTCTGCCCTCGAGAAGAGCTACGAGCTTCCTGATGGTCAGGTCATCACCATCGGTAATGAACGGTACGTCGATCCTTGCCAATCTGATGATCATAACACGTTTTAAATCAACCTTCTGCAGCTTCCGTGCCCCTGAAGCTCTTTTCCAACCCGCGTTCCTTGGTCTTGAAGCTGCTGGTATCCACGAGACTGTGTATGTTGCTTCCAATCTCCCGTTCTTGACTTTGTCTTACTCACCTTACACATAGCTATAACTCGATCTTCAAGTGCGATCTTGATATTCGTCGTGACTTGTACGGCAACGTCGTTCTTTCTGGTGGAACTACCATGTTCCCTGGTATCTCCGATCGTATGCAGAAGGAGTTGACTTCACTCTCCCCCTCGAGCATGAAAGTCAAGATCGTTGCTCCTCCTGAGCGAAAATACTCTGTCTGGATCGGTGGTTCCATTTTGGCCTCTCTCAGCACCTTCCAAAATCTCTGGTGCTCAAAGCAAGAATACGACGAGTCCGGCCCTGGTATCGTTCATCGCAGTGCGTATCCTTTTTCAAAGTCGCATGCCTTCTATCTGATTGGGCTTTTTCTACAGAGTGCTTCTAAATCATTTTATGAATTACGACAAAAATTTAGACGATTTTGGTCTCTGGAAGTGGTGTGGAAAGGAAGGACTAGTTGTACTGTATTTCGCGTGGCGGCTGATGTTCTTTCGCTCGTCGTTTATCGAATACAAATCTGCCTTAATGTTTCTTGAATTTTCAATCTATGATCTCTTATGAGGCAAATGTGAGAGGAATGGAACACTGGCTCGCATCTTCATGAAGTCTATTGTCACAACTTTATCCAAACCTGGGATAATTTCTGCAGTTCTTCACTGTCGATATGTATGGTCTTTGGGTTAGTTGACTGACAAAGTTGATCAGACGGAGGGATGAGCTTCCATGAAGATAATAGAGCATACCTCGCAGAAGTCCAAAACCAGAGCTTTGCAGGCGAGTAGGGTCTCCTGCTCATGACTTGCGGGCTGTTCCTTTATTTTTGCAATCGTGGCTCCGAGATTCAATAAACATTCCACAGTCTGCTTTCCGTCGCTGAGCTGTATAAATGGTCGTTTAGAAGCCATAACGGCAATTATTAGGTGCAACGCCGAGATGCTGATGCCGAACTGTATAACAGGAAACTGGATGTAATGTTGGCAGCAGGACAGAGCAGCCGCTCTAGGATATTTTTGAAGCAACTGGGCGAGAACGACATGTTTCGTTCGAAGTAGAGGCAATGTCTATCAATTTATTCAGCCAGATGATTAGAAAAGAAAGCGTGAAGGGTAACATACGAAAGGATTGGAGATGTCGTTGGGCAACTTTAGCTGGCGTACCAACGTTTTGATGCCGTGTATTAGCCATACATCATCCTCTACGTCCCGTTCAAACTGAAATAAATTACGTCAAAGAGGCCGAGAGAAAGATCGACTACCAAGACATACCATGGCGGCCTTCATTAAGAGTCCGAACGCAAGCTCCAGTAGTTCTATCTGCCCAAGTAACGGCGAAATGCGATTCCCAGAAGGATACAATATCCGGTTGAGAGCGGCAATGGCGATCGGCAGGACAGAGCTTCTCATTTCTCGAGTCATCTCCGTGCAATCAGCATGGTAGATGATGCCTTTGAGGGCACTTCTGGTAACTAAAACCACACTCTCAGCAGCTTCTCAAAACAGCGGCAAAGATCCATACCTGGCGTCAAATCGCGCTTCCCGTAATATTTCAGGAGAACCTGATGCGCCGTTTGGAGATCAATGTATCTCCCTCCTGAGCGGTGACGATCAAGAAGAAAATCGAATAGCGAGGCGTGAAGTGATCTGATCGCCATTTCGCGATTCTTTGGGATCGAGAGTATCGATAATAGTGGGTCCAACATGATGTTCACAGCACCAGGGTGCAAGTCAAACAGCTTCTCGAAAATACATGGAGAAGGGGTAGGTACCGTAAATTCATCACAGCTGGCCAAATGAACGATGCCGAGGATACAGGCGACGACCTGACGATGCTTTTCTTTCAATCCTTCAAAGATGAATTTATACAACTTATCGATGTCGGCGAATGGTTGGTCCTCAAAATCATTTGCGGACGATTTGGCGGCGTTAAGGATAGCGTTCAACCGGATATCTGGCCGATCACTGAGGTAGGCCACGTACTTCATAATGGTTGATGCGAAGATAAACTGAGGAGAAGACTTGGAGACCAGAAGTTCAATGACCGCCAATGAAGGCCATGAAGGATCGAGGTGCTCTCTGAGCGGATGTGTATTATGAATTTTCCGGAATTCGTCTTGATAGAACGTCATAATCGAGCTACGGGCAGCTTTGTCTTCGTCCAGATTGATACGGTGGAGATCAACTTCATGGAATGAAGGGTGGTGGTCAAAAGTGTGCTGGAGATGGGATTCGGGTCGGCTCGCGATGAGAAAACGAAGTGGCATTGTGATATCCCTCGCCGCTTCAGCAATAATGCGAAGGAGGTCGCACTGTACCTCCGATCCTTGACATTCGTCTAAGCCATCTATGACTACCAGTCCAACTTGCCTAGAAGTGAGCTTTCTGAGTAATCGCCTGATTGAGAAGCGATTTAGAGGAGTAGTAAACAGGGACGTCATTTGAGTGGAACGAGTGCTCTCCAAAATGGATCGATTTCTCGTGAGTTCATCCTTGATGTGGCGTTGTGCTTCTGGAAAATATCTTTGGAGTTGGTAAACCAGAGTAGGAATCAGTCGGTCTCCGTTCGAGCGGCCGGATGAACCTGCCACCCTTGAGAAGAAGAACGTGGCCAGAAATGTCTTCTCCTGATTGAAGCGCTCTGAAATGGTTTGACAGATCGCAGACTTGCCAGCGCCTGCAGAGCCATAAAGCCAAAGAATAGAAGTGAGCTGATGGGTACTACGAGCCCAGGATATGATATGTTGATGTATTCCCTCTCGAGTATCTTTGGAACATCTTGGGGGGTCGTGGCGCTCTTTCGAGTCGACAAGAGCATCCAGAGCACAGTAGCTCAAAAGTAGCTCGATTGGTTCCATACCTGGATCATAAGAACAGTATTGTAAATTCAGGAATACTGAATCCTTCACCGAATAACAAACCTAGGTTATGACTCATCACTACATTTCCCGCTACGAAATTGTTGTTACCCTGGAAATTCAGGTTGGATGCATTGTTGAAAAAGGAGACGGTGGGCAATTGGTGCTCTTGAGCAGACGAGCGTTCGAGATAGCTCATGCATGCGAGTCGTACAAAGCAAAGCGGCGCCTTGGTGGTCTTGGACGCAGCATGCATAGATTAGATAAGATTTAAACTAGGCGATTTTTGCCAGGGCTACCAATACTCTTCGAAAATAAGTACGAACCAGGGTGCCATAGTTATTTGAGGTGGACAACGCCTGCTTCCCCCACGCTCAACAACTACCGTCGAATGATATGTCCCCCGGACTTTGCACATACCGTGTCGGCGTGCCTTTATTGTGGTACATTGTGTAGTTTTGCGCCCACACAGAGTCATGGGATTCAAACCACGCGCCTTCTGCCGGTGAGTTCTCGACCTTCTGTCTCATTCAGAGCGGCGTTTTACTATTTTGGAGGGTGGTATTACGTTCTCGAACCCCCAATTAAAAGTACACACTCTAAAACAAGGACAATGCGAGGAGGCAGATAAATACCCAGCGGACGAGTTCTGGAGATTCTTGTACCCAAGTGGAGCGAAGGCCTCAGAACGTAACTGTGTCCCTCTCCCCTCTTGATTCTCGTCGTAGCCATTGTCATATCATACCTTAACAACGCTCAACTCCGAGTCTCTCTTCACTGCGTTATTGTTATCAAAGATTAGTTGGACTTTCGGATTATATTTCGGTAAGTAAGTCTGAATTCTGTTCGTTGGTTGAGTTTTTTGCTCATATAATATACGGTCCATCTTGGGCTTTGATAGTCATGTCCGAGCATCCACTAAGAGACTTCTTTGACAAATGGTCCGACACTTTTACCTACGATCCATCTGAGCCATCAACCTCAGAATTTCGTCGCCTCTGTCGGGAACAGAGATGGAGAGGAGAGAATCCTGCCAAAACAGAAGCCGAAAGCCAGTTCAGATATGCTATAACGATGCAATTTAATCGCAATTATGGCACGGATGTGAACAGCCTCGAATCGTGGCAGCGTTTGTGCGAGAACGTGAGGATTAATCCAATTCCAGATAATGTTAAAGAGGCACGCCAAGTAAGTAGCACATAGCCGGTTATACGGATATATCGTCTGACCTGGATATCGTTATCTAGAAGGTCAAGCAGACACACGTAAACCTTGTGGACCTGACTGATGGGTACGACGGAGGAAGAGAAATCATCATATTTCCGACCGAAGAGGCTTTAGCAGCCTACACCAGGTCCAATGGTCGCTTTTTCCCTAAAGAAGAGGCATATGCAGGCGGTGTTTTGAAGTACCTCCTCAGACATATTTTGAATCCATATCTGGGAGGAGGTCGTGGTCGTGGTCGTGGCAACGGCGTTTGACAAAACCTTGAAGATGTATTTTTATAGCTTTTTTCATACCTGTGTATAGCCATTAAATAGCGGCTATGCATCCAAAGCAATCTTAAATCTTTGACCGGCCGATCGTTGGGCGCTTAATGACTTTGCTACCTGCAAGCAAGGACAAACAATGACCAAATTTGGTAACTACGCTTCAACATGTGATGTAGGCCTTCTGGGGTGTCTTTCTACATCGTTTGGCACCCCATTTCTGCACCAAATTAAAGGAAAAAAGGTTTTGACAACAGAGGGATTCGAACCCTCGCCACAGAGTGACCAGATGAGAGCATATCCCAATGGATAAGCCTGATTCTGGCGCCTTAGACCACTCGGCCATGTTGCCTCGAAAAAAGTTAACAATTTGTTTATATAACGCTTCCAAAGAAAGAAAAAAATTAAAGCCACTTATATCGAGAGTATACATGTTACATCGATCGACTCTTTTGATGTGCCAAGGACCAATTGAATAGGAAGGGAAAATGTTTATGATGCTTGACGTAGCTGCCAACTCTAGAGATGCACAGAGATCTCCAAGTTGTCAGTTTCCTAAACTCATTCCTTACCACAGACGTTGGAGGACACAATTCCTGAGTATAGAATAATATTAACGCGCCAATTGTAGTAGGTTGTAAAAAGAAAGGTATAAACGTTGTGGATGGACGGAAGCTTATTGTACGATGCAACATGGACTGAATCCAGCTTCCACTGAGGCTCCAGAAAACTGGACCAGTTTTGATGCTCCCGTTCTATTGCTCTATCGGATCAGTGGGTAAGACTATCTGTACATTTGCAGTCTGGAGAGACATTCTCGCACGTCGTCAATTCCCCTTCTGTCCCACCGAAGTTCGTCTGACCAAACGGATTGGAACATCTTTCACGCCAAGGGTGACCACCAGCTTGGCATCTAACACTCTTTCCTTCCATTGTTCGACAGACTCTCCCATGTTCAATATAGGATGAATCGAGAAATCTCGCAGCAGCGATGTCAAAAAGGCCACGGCTTCAAGAAGTGCAAATTTGCGACCGACACAGGCCCGTGGCCCAACACTGAATGCAGAAAAGGAGTCCGAGTCATTCGAGAGGCCATACCATCGTGAGGGTCTGAACGAGGTGGGGTCTGGAAAGTATCGGGGGTTATATTCTGCATCCCTAGTGAATCAGCAATTTTCTTCAATTACATCAACATAATTGCACGCACGAATGCCAACCATGTCGACGATAACAGTGGTTCCTTCAGGGATCGCAACGTCTGTTCTTCCCTCTTGGCCTTCACATTTTGGGATGTGTAAGACGGTGTCTTCCCATGCCGATCGGATGAGAACATGAGCCGCCGCTGTTGATGCATTCGTGAGATCTAGAGTTGAGACTAACTTGGAAGTGCTTACGGAATAGTCTAACGGCCTCATAGAAGACGGCGAGTACTTTATCAAGTTTATCGTAGTCTTCAAAAGTCTGAAAAGGCTTTCAGTATTAGCTTCATGACGAAGAAACGTGACACTAACTGGCTCTCCATCCGTACCACACACTGAAAGAACTTGCTGATATATTTCTTCCTGGATGTCTTGATGTGCGCTCAATAGCCCAATTGCAGCCGCAAGTGAGTGAGCCGTAGATTCTAAGTAAAATTCGAGTCTGAAGCTTTGCCTGCGTGTGGACTTTGCGTACCATGACCAGCAAATAGCATTATGAAGATGTTACCAATCTGAAAAAAAAGGTCGGCCTTTGAACTTGTTACGAGTCAAACAGCGACGTACCAGCTCCTGATCGTCCAGCTTAAACTTGCTTGTTTCATCTTCGTTCGCTTTCACTAACATTGTGAACATGTCATCTTTTTCATTCTCGAATCCTTTCTGTGCTGCATCTGCTTTCTTTTGGACCACCATGTCTTTCATAAACTGTTCCAGTCGATCGTGGGCTTCAAGAGCTTCCTGGAATCTGATAGTGTATTTTCATCGTCAGATTTCAAGACGATCTTGGTCTGTTTAAACGAACCTTTTGAAAGGGAGCTTCATTATCCAGTTAGGCAAGAAGGCCGCCAATACGTGCGAGTCACCGACAACTTTCAAGGCCTCATGTACAGACATTCGCCCATCAGCTGTCTTGGGAGGATCAAACCATGTACTTTGAAAACCAAAGCCGCATTGTCCAATGATCAGCAGTGTTAATTTGGAAGTGATTGTTTGAAAGCTGGGAATACGAGATTCCTTTTGATCGGCCCACTTTTCCCCGACCAGAATCTGCTTATAGGTCTGAATAGTTCTGGTCCAGACGTTTCGATACCTTTGAGACATGCTGGATTAGATAAGTGACTATCATGTGAACAAGAAAAGCATTACAGTTTGTTGTTGAAGGCTGGAGCTACGACGCGACGATGTTTTCTCCAAACCTCTCCATCTGCGGCGAGAAGATTCATGCCCCACAATCTATGGCAAGCAAGTTTAGTTTCAGAAATAGTAGAGCCAATGAAGATTATCTTACAAGAGAATGATAGAATGGTGCTCTGGCTTCAAGAAGCTTGTCTTATGGGAGCCGCCAGCTACTTGCCTCAGGACGTCCAGGTTGGCGGTGTAGAAACATGGCTCTCCAATAAGGAAGGAAACCACGCTGAAAGTATCCGTTCCATGCGCATAATCTACAGCAGTCAGACCTTACCACACGATACAAGGATGAACGAACTTGTAAGTCTCTTGTTCCAAAGAAAAAGATATCCTGGATTCCACCATGTGGTTGGTAGAACAACACCAGGAAAGCCCATGGGAAAGAAAGGCACGCGTAGTCCGGGGAAGTATCCAACAGCCTACTTGTGCATGAGTGGAGGCTACCAGGTTAAATAATAATCGCCCGTACCTTAAGCCCTCGACGATGTTTCAAAAAGCTTGAAACCACGACGATAGCAAGCGCTGCGAGAGTAACATTCACTGCAGAAATCTCAGCCCTTGAACTTGTTTCGTACTGTGCTGAAGAGGCCGGAATCCAGCGAAACGGGTCAAACGAAGTCGAAAACATGTCAAAAACTTTGGAAGTTGGGAGACATGGTTCTCAAGCATGACGTTGCTTTAAGAGCCTCTTCGGCAACAACAACCACCCGGGCAAAACCTAAGTCCCATGGTTAGGTAGTCATTGCTGTAATTGAGTTACCATACATCAGCACTTGAAGGTTGGGTTATTAGAGGTGTGACAATTTATTTTTAGGCAAGCTTGGCAGCTTCCCGGGGTTTCCTGTTTGGTTCAGTCTGCATGACAGACCAGCCTTGGACCAGTCGACTTGTTGGCGTTGCCCAAATAGAGAAACTCGACTTGATTCGCAAGCTCAAGTTCCCGAGAATTACCTAACTGTGGGACTCAGGTTCCGCCAGGACGGTCGTTGTTGCCGAAGAGACTCTAAGGGCCATCCGACGCGCCTATCCCCCCACCGGACATTGCAAACATCTTGGAGTGGAAAATCGAGTGGCCGCATCACGCTGCCTCCATCAACGCGTCTTGTGGTTCACATATGTACCCTTGCCCATTGGGCCGTTAACTCTCCTCGACTCTCACAGTCTATTGTCTCCCACTCATGGGTGCATCCCATGGACTTCCATTGGAGGCACTTGTTCTCAGCGGACATGGTCTGGCCTTCGACACCTTCCAGACACCCCGCGATAAGCGAGAAATTTGGTCAATAGGCGCCCATGCCAGGATTCACCAAGCGCTCGTCTCCGTTTGCCGACTCAACAACGAGTAAAATGACAGGTCCCCAGGACCACATGGAGTAAAAATTCCACCTAGGTTGCACCTTATTAGAGAGAGAGAGAGAAGAGAAGCCTGGAGAAGCCTTTTCGGATGTTGTAATCGTCATTTTCGAAGAGGAAACGCGCCAACGGCTCGTGAAATTGAAAGGCAAACAGTGTGTGCACGTGCTGAAAATATTTAAATGAATTGGGCCTTGGCCTCGACAAAATGTATATTTTCGATTAAATGCTCTGTTGTTGGTTCGTCGTGGGTCTGGATGAAGAGAGGCTTAAATGTGGCAAATTTGAAATTTGCATAGTACTGAAGTTACCTCCTTAAGCCAAGTACCACTCGAGAACCAGGACGAACTAGAGCTCGGAGCGAGCAGGTACATTCACCCACGAGAAGCCACAAACTAAGTTTCAAAGTCCTTCAAGGCGGCAAGGGTAAACGGCCTGCAAAGAGATGAATACTTGCATCGTTGATATGTACCGTAGTTAGAGCTCAACATGAATATCGGAAGTGCTAGAACCCCAAAAGTTAAAGCTCGCGCTATTCCACACATTGCGAGCGAATCGTAATATACTGTGCAAGCTGATAGGTTGATACTCATCGATGATGATATCAGCAGCTCGTTCAGCAATCAGGTAAGTTGGTCCTTGAGTGTGAGCGCTGGGCACAAACGGCCAGATTGAAGCATCGACGATTCGCAGGCCATCCGCACCTTTGACTCTCAGTCTCGAGTCAACAACCCCCCAAGCTGCATTGTCTGGGGAGATGGCACCTGTCCCAACTCCATGGAAAGTGGTACCAAGGTTCTTACGGATATGTTCGTCGACAGGTTCGTCCTCTTCGCTACCCGATGACCCTACAGCTCCAACAATGTACTCGGAGAATGTCTTCGAAGAGGCGAATCGCTTAAGAACTCGTAGGGCTTCACGCATTGCTTTCTTGTCGTAGTCGGCGGTCAGATATCGTGGATCAATGATTGGTTCGTCTAACGGATTTATCGATGCCAGCTTCACAAACCCCCCTAATTGAAAGTTAGGATTCTCAACGTATCTTAAACGACTATATAAATCCGACATACTTGACACGGGCGAAGTGAGGCTGGTCATCAAGGTGATGTAAGTTCCAGAATCTGGAACAGGCAAAGGTCTAGCAAGCCAAAAGTTCTGTTAAGCGATGTTCAGCTACGTCCAGTATCCAAGTCATAAGTTGAGTCTTACGCAGAACATCATTTCCCAATGGGCTGCTTTTGGTCCACTCGAGGGATCGGGAGTCGAATCGAAGATGGAAGTATTGGAAGGAAACCTGAAGAAGCCAATTTGACTGGAGTAGCCATTGGCTATGAGGCCTGTTCGTGAGGCCATCCACTCCCCAATTGCGGCTTGCATCAGATCTGGTTGCCGGAAAGTATCATCCAGAGTGTCCAATCCTTTGACTTCGTACCAATATGGGACAAAGATGTGATCGGAGAAGTTGTGACCAACTGAAGGACTGTTGACTAGGGTTGGAATGTTGAGCTGTTCCAGATCTTCCTTGGGACCTATACCGGAAAGGAGGAGCAATTGAGGGGTGCCAATTGACCCCGCAGATAAGATAACCTCTCTCTTCGCCAAGACGTAGTTC